TCTACTCCGGTCACCCAGACGACAAACACGAGCACACTGAGTTTTGGGGTGGCTATCATGATGTCCCCAACAGCATCGAAGGATCTAATGCAGTGGGAACCAATCTCCTGCAGGATCGTGACAGCAAGATTCAACTCAAAAGGAAGGAAGGTCACAATCATACAATGCTACGCTATCCACCTACAAATAATGCAGATCAAGAGAAGAAGGAGAAATTCTACAGACGACTGCAGTCAACACTGGACAAGACCTCAGTTGGTGACATCAAGATCCGTTAGAACAATGGGTGGGGTGACATGAATGCCAAACTGGGAGCGGACAACATAGGAAGAGAACTCATCATGAGTCGAGAAGCACTCGGTGAAATGATCGAGAATGGAGAACTGTTTGCAGGTTTCTGCGCATTCAACGATTTGGTGATTGGAGGCAGTGTGTACAAACACAAGGATATTCACAAGGCGACATGGATTCAGTTTCACCAGATGGACACACTAAAAGTCAGATCGACTTCATTTCAATCTGGAGAAAATGGAGACGCAGTCTACTGGACACAAGATCAAGAAGAGGAGCAGATGTAGGTTCCAACCACTCACTTTCTAGAGCAAGAAAACTTCAAAATCAAGTTGAAACCTTCCAAAGAAGTTGGTGGTGGACCACAGTTGACGTTCAACAGTCAGAACAGAAAGTGAAGTGAAGGACGAGACTACAAAGGACATCTGCACGTCAGCCACCAGGAAAAAATGGGAGACATTAAGCAACATCCCTGAAGAAAACTGCGTGGAAGAACACTGGAACTCTTTGAAACAGGTGTGGAAAGAAACCTGCATCACCCTGTTAGGAAGGAAGAAGAAGAAACAAGACAAGGAATGGATCTCGACGGACACGTAGAAGCTGATAGAGTAGGGAGAGGAAGATGGTGAAGCAGAAGATGAACCAGTGCAAGGATGCACAACGAAAAGAGGAACTGAACACAACCTATAAAACACTGGACAAAGAAGTGAAGAAGAGTGCGCAGAAAGACAAAAGGCACTTTTACGGCACACTTGCAAGTGAAGCAGAACAGGCTACGGGTAGGAGAGACCTGAGAACATTATATCAAATAACCAGGTTACTATCCGAGAATAGATCAACGCAGACGAAACCAATGAAAGATAGTGAGGAAAACTTAATTACCAAAGAAGAGGAATAAAGGAAACAGGGCTGACCACTTCCAAAAAGCTCTTGAGTCGACCACCACCTGCAACCCGTCCAGAAATACCACCAGCAGCCACAGAATTACCAGTGAACACAAGTCCTTTAACAAAAGCAAAAGTCCTGAACGCCACAAAGTTGCTGAAAGCCGGGAGAGCAGCGGAACCAGATGGAATTCCACCAGAAGCACTGAAAACAGGTGCAGAGAACAGCGGACATACTCACACCACTACTACAAAAGGTTTGGAAGGAAGGAACGAACGAAACGCACCTGCCCATTGATTGGAAGAATGGCTACCTTGTCAAACTCCCAAGGAAGGGAGACCTAAGTATGTGCAGGAACTGGCGTGGAATCATGCTACTGTCCACTCCAAGCAAAATATTAAGCTGCATCATCCTGTAGAGACTAAAGCATGCACTGGATTCAAAATACGACCGAAACAGGCTGGCTTCAGGAAGTACAAATCATGTGCGGATCAAATTGCAACGCCACTCTACGCATCATCATAGAACAGAGTATAGAATGGCAGTAACTTCTCTACCACACCTTCATCGATTTTGAAAACGTCTTCGACAGCGTCGACCGAGAGGTAATTTGGCAGGCAGCTGCTTCAACACTACGGCTTTAGTGCCACAAACCTTCATCAACCTCACTCAACAGCTATATGAAGACGCCGCATGCCAAGTAATTCACAATGGGAAGCTCAGTGATGCCTCTGAAGTGAAGACAGGAGTAAGACAAGGTTGCCGCCTACCATCACCGATGATCTTCCTGATTGTGGTCGACTGGATCATGCAACAAACTGTGAGGAGCGAGAAGGTGGGCATACGCAGTTTGACTGATGAAAAGAGCCTAGAAGACTCAGATTTCGCCGATGATTTATGTTTAATATCGCACAAACTCGAAGATCGACAGGCGGAAACTAACAAGTTGACAGAAGAGGTAGGGCAGCGAAAACGGGACTTCCTTTAAGTGAACGTAGAGAAGACAGAAGTGATGGAGATACCCAACCAACAACAGCATCAACAATAAGCACCAATCACCATTAACGGGAGAAACCTAAAGGAAGTAGTCTCTTTCACCTACCTACACACAACCATTTCAACTACAGGCGGCACAGGCACAGATGAAGACGTCAAAACCAAGATCGGAAAAGCAAGACAGGCCTTCATCCATCTCAGAACAAAGAACAAGATCCGAATTTTCAACACTAAGTCAGTCAAGCCAGTGCTTCTATATTGTTCAGAGACTTGGCGCGCTATCAAAAGCATTTCCAACAAACTACAGACGTACATCATCAACAACTGCCTACGTTCGATACTGAAGATCAGATGGTCAGAAAGAATAAGCAACAAGGAACTCTAGCTTGGCAACAAACCAACCAAGAACCCATCGCCCAACAAATATGTAGGAGAAAGTGGAGATGGATCGGGCATACACTGGGAAGACCACTGGGGACATCACGCGCCAGGCACTCGAGTGGAATCCAGAGGGGGAACGACAAGTTGGGGGTCCCAGCTGAGGGTGACATGGGGGAGATCATGTGAGGAAGAAATGAAATCTTGTGGGCAGTCGCGGAGCCAGGTTCCAAAGATTGCAGAGAACAGAGTGGAATGGAGGCGTGCTACTGAAGCCCTATGTCCCACTAGGAGCCCAGGGGACAAATAACAATGATATGAGAAAAACAAATTTTTGCAGCATGCAGTGATTATCTTCTTATTTCATGATAGATGGGAAAAGGGATCCACGGTTCATGTTGACATTTTTAATAATTGGTCAGTTTTCCAACTGTCCAACTGTGGTCTCAGTTAACAGGCTTTCTGTTGTAAAACACCCCACATTCAGGATCATGGTTTGTGATCTCTGACTGAAACGTGGGATGGACTACCCAAATATATTACTACTAAACCATTTGAGTAGTTAGAAGGCTGATATGTAGATTTCGCCAGTCAGCCAGATCAGATTGATGTAAACACTGGACGGCAGTTTCGTTCGTTTTAGGCCGAGCTTAGCAGCGGTGCAGAAGGACGAATCCAGCTCACACAGTCAAATATGGCTAGCTGACTTGCACGGGCAAGGATCCCTAAAATAGGAGGATTGATTTGCAAATGATTCAAGTGATCTGTAGTAATTCGGCTCTATGAGCTGAATTTGTCCGGGTACACCACTGATCAGCTCGACATCAAACGAGAGTAAACGGCCTTCCAGTGTTTAGATCACTCTGATTTAGCTGGCAAAATCTATAGATCATCCTGAGTGGTTTCTAGCTACACAAGCTGCTCAGTAGTAGAAAAATGGAACAGAAAACATTACTTAAGTGACCAAGTCAAAAATCTAATTTAAAAGTTAAAAATTGAACGTGGCTTTAGATTATATCGATTTCATTTAGATAGTTAAAGTTGTAGAAATAAAATAGGGACTAACTGAGAAATTAGTTGTGAAAGAGGATGGAAATGCCAGAGATCCAATTAAATTTGGAAGGGCTTCTGCTGAATAACAAAACAAATCAATGACTAACATGAACGTTAGAGGTTCACAATCGCCTCTTTTTTGACATATATTAGCATTGCTCTGTTTGTTGATTCTCTTAAATGCACTTAAGAGCTACTAGACATTGTGTGTCATATCAACCATCAATTCAACTATTCAGACAATTCAGCTGTTTTATGCTTAACTTATTCGGATTGACATCACTTGGAGGAGCATTAGAAACCTGGGAGCATTGGACAGCTGTTTCGCTGCAGTATGGAACTCCGCAGCAGTGCGCATTTACGACTCCGACAGGAATTTAACCCATGATCTTCAGGTTCCATGGCCATCACGTTACCATTGAGCTACTGGGTCGGAATTCAATAGTCCATATTTTCTACTTCTGTCGTTTCACGATATAGCGCGACCTATATCCAATGTTATCGTTGAGTAACTGTCCTCATGTTCAACTTGCTAGACTTCACTTTTTATGACTTCTTATTAGAACTTCGGGAATCAACTCTCGAAGCTAGTCACGAATGAGCGCTAGATTAATTCTATATTCACAAAATCAAGCCTTAGCTCTACTCTCTGTTGTTTCGATTGACTAGCTCTGGTATATGCAGAGTTTTATTCATCGGATAAACCGACTGAAGAAACTCAGTTCTGCAAAAGAAGTTCATAGATGTAATCAAAATACGAACAGCAGAAGTAAATGGACTCGATAACTCCCTCCCATCTGATTTTCGAGGGGAGCGAAATGATGAACAGAGTTGTTCGAAGAATAAGAACTCCGCTAAAAATAAATTTACCAGCAGTTAAATCACAGCTCATGCAAAACAAAGTGTTCACTACAACAAATGAAAGTTGACAAATTTTTGGCTCATTTCATTTCGAGTTGTATTTATCAATTTACGTGTACATTCCAGAGCATATGCATAGAAAGAACCAGTTGAAATCAAATTTGGGAGGTAATGGCAGCTAGATCAGCAAGTCATGTGACTATCTTTATATGATTGTGAGAGATAAGTCGTGCCTGAAACGTTATCCAGTATCAACACCAGTTAATTTGAATATCCCATTCACTTTCCCCTGAACAGAATAAGTTGCTTCAGACAATGAACATTTGTTTTGTCTTTTGCTGATCACAGGTAGGATGACGATACCTGTGAGTAAGTGACTGTATCACGTTCAGATATTTTGAACCAAACATTATATCCTACGTTTTTCATGTGAGCAGACATAAGAAATTATCCCGTCTCTACAGTAAACCTGTAACCATACAATGATCAATAATCAACATTTCAAAACACAAACATCAATGTTGACCAGTGCTTACCGTAGTTCACCATTTGCTGAAGATTCTTTAACTTATTCACCCGGCAGTAGTAGTCTAGATTTTGAGTCAGTTGAAAATTGAATATCCCCAGAATATTCTGAAATATATTGAAACAGAAACTGGATGAATAGAATACCTAAAATGTGTCATACAACCTGAAAAAAGCCAGTTGACCACCTAACTAAAGTTTTAAAGTACAAGTCACTAGATTTGTAACCGCTGGGCAGACTTGGATGTTATGTCTTGTGAATCTTCGTCATTGTTTGGACCGAACTGATTAGCTTCTGTTAAATGCTTCTATATTGCCGACATTTTCACTCTTGATATTGATGATAGATAGTGGCTAACAGTGAAATCCAGAACGCATGTCTCGTCCTATTTGGGACTCGTCAGCTGGATGCACCTGCCACCCAGTCAGATAGATACACAAAATCAACATAGAACCTCGCAAACAAGTACATGAGTTCAACTTGCCACATTTCATAGTGGTATACCGAGAACAAGTAGATATTAAAGTTCTATATAAAAGTAGAAAAATGTGCATAGGGAGAGAGAAAATTAAAAAAACTAAGGTTAGTCGAAACATTTAGGCTTTAAAAGACGTAAAAGAGTAAATGCATCTATGGTATTCTGACCGATTTTAAGCTATTTCACAAAGAGTCTTACACCATTGATTCCTATCGTCTCAGGGACCCCAGCCAGGTAGTCTACACCTCTCTACACGACTCACATCAAACAGTTAGGGATTGGATGACCTGATGTCACGTCCTAATCTGGCCAGGCTGAACCCTCTTACAATCGAATCCAACTTCCTCTAACATGGCATGGGGACGTAGGCGGTGTCTCGGTATGTGCAGCACATGCTCAAGTCACCTCAGTCGGTGAAGATTCATAACCTCATTGACCGACTTGTCTTCCTTTCTTAGAACCCTTCGCCTGATCTCATTATTGCTCATATGGTTGTTCCATCATATGCGGGCAATGGTAGCCAGACACCTGTGGTCATATCCACTAGTTTTAACGGCGATGTCTTATATCTCTAGTACAGGAAAGAAGGAGTTGGACTAGGACCTGAACCAATCCTCACAGAAACTTACATATAAATAGTCGCTGATCAGTTCGGTCGAATCAATGATGGAGATTAATAAGCAATAATATGAAAACCATAATATACTCGCAGCACAATTAATGATTATCGTGACTCAATGGCCTAATAAATAACGCTTTGCCGTTCGGAGCGGTCGGCCGTAGGTTCGAGTCACTCTTATACTTAAGTTGTTAATACACATACAACTGATACATAAGTTAGCTAAATAAATTCATAACGAATTCGTTTATCTCTGTTTCATTTCCAAGCAACGGATCTTTTACAAAAGGTTCAGTTATTTTTCGAAAAACTTACGTTTGTCATTCTGACCTAAATCCATTTCATTTGATAGTACAGTTCGCTTAGAATTTGTGTAAGCGTCAGTTGAGACAGAGTCTGTCAGTTTGAGTTGATTTTTATATTCCAATTGTTGTTTTTCTTTTTTATTAACTGTCAGCTGTACTTCATCTCTGTCTTGAGCTATCGTCAAGTTTAATTGAAGTTGGTTAATTAAATGGGTTGGGATGTAGGATACAGTTTCATAAGTTTTTTCTTCGCTTGGCGATTCCAGTTTGTCTTCATTTACTGTTTGCGTGTTCATGTGGGTGCGGGATAAAAAAATTAAAAAAGACAATTGTACAACAATATTATGCGATATGGATCACTGTAGAGATGACTTTCAACAAATGGGTCACGTGTTCGAACATTACTCCAACTGCCGTGGTTTAGGTGGTCAGAACAAAGTAGGTATGTCTCTTCGCCTGCTGCACACAAGTGTACGTGATTGCTGAGTGTACTTCGAATATGAATCACCATAGACTTATGATCAGTATGCTTGAATACATCTTGATACACTGCTCAATTTGTTCCATACAATTCAAACACCATTTAAGAATTGACAATTTATATTGTTAAAAATCTGTATGTTATGCATGTTGGTTAGTTGTGATACAGACTGAGTGCAGGTACATCCAGCTAACAAGTCCCAAGAAGGATGCAACACTCGTCGTGGACTCCACTGCTAGCCACCAAACAGACAACAATGTGATACAAATAGTTTAGTAGTAAACTATCTGACTACAACAAATACAAATCCATCCTTTATTTCAAAAAATATACCTCCTACAAACTTAATCCTAATTGCTGACTTCTCAAAGGCGTGTCTACATTGTTTAGATATCTTTCAGTTTGAGTGAACTCATTACTGTCTGTACCAGGTTCCATGTGGTTTGTCAAATCACCTTCTAGCGATGAGCTCATATTGATACACGCGTGAATACAAGTGATGAACAACCCTGAATATAATAGTCATCCATACTTTTTTCGCCTAAAATGATATTGATTCCCTTTTTTCAACACCGTTAGTCCTTTTCTCACTTGTACTCGTTTACCCCGTCGGATGTTACCATTGATATTTCTTTTTATAGTTTTAGTTTCATATTCCTTAGCGTTATTAAGTAGCATAAGTCATGTTATCCCAAAATGTTACTTCGTCCACGACTTGACTGTTCATTCGATTCAATAGTATCTTATCCATCATTTAACATCCCTAGATATTAGTACTCTTTCCGGTTCATGATGGTGTTACGATTTCTTCTGGTATTCCCTGATATTCTATTTTACCCTGAATATTCTTTTTTCTCGTGTCTTTATCGCGTGGTGTGCACGTCCCTTATATTCCCTTCTGGTTTGCCTTGCGGTTTTTATTGCTAACATACTCTCCACAAGGTGATTTGATCGCGATAAATCGATAAATACCTCGTGATTTGAGGTTCCTAAGTTTTTTGGAAAGAAATTCAAATACACTAAAATTTGTCAGTTGAAGCTCTCATACATGGTTCTTAGGGCTAGAACTACCCAGCACACTATACTTTATACTGATCCTGAAGCTGATGTTAGATGGCGATAACGTTGCCTTCCCGCATATAACAGCAGTCATGAAGTAAGTACTGATGAAGTCATCTAACCTTGGGTTGAGGAGTCCACGATCAAGCATGAAAGTCAGGAGAACAAAAAAGTACCCATGTCAACTGAAGCTACAAATTTGATTTACTACAGTGAGAAAAGTCCCTTTCTGACTTATCAGTTACATCATACTGACCAAGATACCTGCCTATGTTATATTTTAGTTATGTGGACCCCAGACGCTGATTTCAACTACTCCACGGCTATTTCAGCATCAGTGTTAACGGGCAGTTCACAGATTCAGCGTAATATTTCATGCCTACTAATAAGCTTCCTATACTTTTAATCCACAACTACTTAGTCAATATTCATTCTGTATTCTGACATTCATTCAATAAAGATTCATCACCAGCTGTCGATCAAGTCTCTTCTATCAATGCAAATCGATCGATAAGCATTTTCAGCATTAATAATCATTTCTTTACACACCAACCTGTATCCAGGAAATATCAACGAAATAAAACAGTAAGGATGATTAGTTTATCAAAATCTAGCTGGCTGGTGGTATCTAGATGCTGACAATTTAGAATAAAACTCGTGAATTTTATTATTAATGTCTACCAAGTGAAACCTATAGAGTCATGAATTCCTGTTATTCTGATGATAACTTCTTTCGAAATCAATTTCCATTCAATGGTTGAATATTGAATTAGGTGGAGATTTAAACAAATACTGAACATTGTATAAGTTTAAACATGTGTACACTACAAGAATATAAGAAATTGTATTCTGCTGCCAACTAACTTCTCACCTGAGAGATTACAATTAAAACTTTTATACTGATCCCAATTTTCTAAGAATCGTCGATTCGGTCCAGTTATAACCTTATCGTCTAATATTTCTGGATGAAATTGAAGGAATACAGGTAAAACACAAAATTTTATTTATTTATTTATTGATATTGTTGTTGTTATGACAGTACACAGAAATACAACTTAATGGTCATATCTGTTATGAGTGATCAGAGCCACTACTCAACTGTTCAAGTTGGGAATCACAAACTCGGCACTCCTTACTAAGGTTTGAACCGGTAGATAGTATCACAAACTGGTATGAAGTAAATGTATATTTGCTTAGTTTAGGCAATTGACTTCCAATGGGTCACATTTAAAGCTCGCTCCATCTACTGAGGTTTGAGTAGTCAGGTAGTATTAATAACTCTTATACAATGGGTGTGGTTTACTTTCAGTATGGTTGCTGATTGCATTTCGAATTTCTTCTTCAGTAGCCTTACCATTTTCATGAATGCAATCGAATTAGGTGTGAGTGATTTGACTCTGTATCTCAGTAGATGAGGGTCGAAACTACTTATGCACACACGAATTGTTGAATATCATCAAATCAAATGAATTTTATTTCAAGAAAGCTGATTGCTACGACCAGGTTTTTCAATCAGTAACCTGTTAACATGAATACTGCGCTCAGTTCCTAATGTAGAAATAAGTTGTCACAAAAATACAACTCACGAATGTCTCCAACTATAAGAAGCCTCAGTATGATGCGCAATATACGACATATATATTGATGAACAGAGATATCTGTTAACTTCTGATGTCAGTCAACCTCAACCTCGAAGGAGTTGATATCCTATCAACCACTTAAAACCGCATCATCTCCGACGATCCTAACACCTTAGTAGTAAGGTCTATGATTATAGCACTGAACGATGCGGGTCCGAACCTCTAAGGGGATATCACACCCCTCACGGTTGCAGATATGCCTTGCTGATGAGTGGCGACAGGGATGCAACTTTGGTCTAGAGTGTTTAGGCAGTTGTCTCTGACTACTTAACATTCTTTTATAATCTAACTTACTGGTAAACGCCAAGTGTTTCGATTCGCTGCTGCAAATATTTATGTCCTACTGCAAATTTTAAATATTTCACAAATTTTAGGTATTATCAATTGATTATTCAAAACAGGTTTTATGTTTGTTCAGAAATCTATAACGTCTTGATAATAGTGAAAATGATAAATACTACTAATAAGTAATAAGACGACACTAACTTACCGAGACTTTTCGAATTCACAATAATAATATTCCTTGCGCGAGATGCTTTCATAACTGGATTACCACATAAGTTTAATTCTTTTAAATCTGGCCATTTGTTTAGTGAATTCGACAAATCGTTAATCGATTTAACAGAATTATTAGATGCATTCAAGAAGATTAAAGCGTGCAAATTATTTAAACCCTTTAGACTGTCCAACTTATTCCCGGATACATCCAAACGTACCAGACTATCCTAGTGAGTTGGAAATGATAATCCCCACAGTATGGTCGTCACACACACAGAAGTTACATATCGAATTCGAAGAAAAGGTAGGGAAAAAAAGTTAAAGATAGATTCATGTGGGACATCATTAATCGATATATGTAGATAGTTTAAAATGATTGTTCATTAGAGTTTTGAGAGTCCTAACCATGTTGTCGAGCTAATGAATTTACAAGCTGCACAGGTTACCGAAATTAGTTAATCTTTATTCATTTTGAGCATTTTATTGGAAAACCAGTTAATTTTAAAATATTCATCGAGAACACAACACCATGCGAGGGTGAAACCAGAAATGTCAGGTTTTTTCAGAAACCAGGTTAACAATCAGTAACTAGGTTGGAATCCACTGTATTATATTTTCAGTACCTCTCAAATCTTGACAAAACGCTAGCCGCGAACCGAAAAAAAATGATTATTCAAGCTGGGAATTATATAAGTTTGCTGAAGAAGTCAAGTATGACGATGAAAAGCATATAGATGAATAAAGACTTTAACGAACAAATTTGTTTCCAGCGGTATTATCTTTTGCAACTGTACATTTGCATTTAAAAATAGTTAGTGCACGACAAAATGTCAATATCTGTTGGCCAATAATTGTTAGTAGTTTGTGGCCAGAAAAACAAAATAAAAACTACATAAGAAATAAGAATTGGAAAGTTTAGGAACTAACAAAGTGAATAAGGACACAGGGAATGAATAGAAAAGTCGCTTGTGGAATCACAATTCCAGTTTCTATTGTTGCATTGCTAAAGTTTCAGCAACGTAAAGTAAACGTTTGATCATACCCTACAGAAGATTGCATTGCACTCTGTATACGAGCCATCCCAGATGTTGGCGTCAACACTGACCAATCTGCCTCTGTGTACAGCCTATGCGCCTACGTCCACAGGAGCAGATGAACTGATATATGAATATTGAAATGGTTACCAATGACAATTTGTCCAAGGCACACAAGTTCACTACTGGACGACTAATATAGGTGATTTTCAGAATGGCTGAATAGAATGTTCTTTCCTTCATAACCTTTATAAATCTGCGTTTTAGTATATCATCTGCTGCATTTTCATTAAATTTCAAGTTCAAAATTAACTTTTTCTTTTCCACATTAATAGGAGGCTGATGGGTGACATTCCGATGTAGATTTTCATATATGAATCTCTTTGAGTATCCATTTTTAATGAACGTTGATGATTGAAGTTGAATTTCGTCTTCTAAAGTGTCATGAGTAAAAATCTTTCAGATTCGAGAGAAAAGCGAATTGATCAAATTCCTTTTCGGTTGATGAAAACCCAGCTATGAAAGTTTGCCATTGCTTAATTCCATATAGGCTTTTGACAAATGAATATTTTATGCATCCCTTAATCTCTACTTGTTAACAAATACGTCGAGGAATAGTATCTTTGAGTCTGATCCCAACTCTATTGTAAAGTTGACACTCATTCAAAAATCAAAGTACTTTCTGCACGTCACAATTCTTGTCAAAACAATCAATGTATCATCGACCAACATACCTTCTGTAAAGTGTAAACCACCTGATAACTGGATTAAAGATGGCTTTTCCCAGTTTGGCCATAAATATATCTGCTAACAGTGGACCAAGTGGTGACCCAATCGCCAGCGTTGTTCGTCTAGCGTTGGTCGCTAGCAATGGTCATAGGGTGAGAGTTTGAGGGATTGTAAGAGATTTAATATTGGTATCAGAAAGTGAAGGCAAATGAGGGTAGGTTATGATTGACTGGGTTTTGTATACTGCTGGATGCGTATGGGTAGTTGGTACTTCCTGGCTGCCCACACTGTGGAATGTTTCTGCAGGGTACCCAAAAGAGAATCGTTTCACAATAACGCAGAGTTCACGGGACATCTATCTCAAACTTGTCACACGCGAATGCTTTAGGATTCCTGGATTTAGACTTAATTATGCTGACGCCGGACAAGAAAAATACATACCATAGGATAGGGAGGAGTGTAACTACTTACATTATGATGGTAAGTGATATCAGTTCCACTATTACCTAAAAGACCTTTCTAGCATGGTAAGGTCTCAAGGGACAATCCTTCAGCCAGCATAAGTCACTGCGATATTCAAGCCCGACCAGGAATCACGTCAAGGTAGCAGCTATAAGTTAGGTCACATCACTGTGAAGGGTTTCTCAACATTTATATTACTTAGCAGTTGTACATTTCGTTAGTCCACGACGCTTTTGCGTCGGAAATTCCAACTTGAGATCTATGGTATCAGGGATTGGGGGATGGGTTCCAGCGGAAACTCTTTTGATACTAGTTTAGCAGCTAAACAATATTGCACCCATGAATAATATTAACATGAAACATGTAGTTTATAATGAACTTACAAATAATTCATCTAGTTCATGTTATACTGGTCCATTCGATTAAGTTAGTTAGACGTGACTAATCTGGTAAACCTGTGTGTTAACTGATTTGACTTCAACACATAGCTGATTATTTTAGCCCAGAAAGAGAAAAACAGTCATGCAGTGCATCTGTTAGTATGAACTGCCTAGCGAGTTATATATAACGCTGAAATTTGTCTCTGGAGGTGACCGTTTTCCTGAGGGGTTTCATTCCGTTACAGTATCATTCATTTTTATATTTTGTTTGTGCTTTGAAGTTTCTTTAGCGGTTAGATTTGTTTTACGGGGTAGGGTTGCTAGCTCTATGCCCAACCTTCCCTCTTTACCCGGGCTTAGGACCGGCTAGTAACTAGTGAACTAGTTAACCAGGCGATGACTTGTGCCTGATGTCACATAAACTTGAAGATCTGCAGGCAAAAACTAACAAGTTGATAGAAGAGGCAGCGAAGACGGGACTTCAAGTGAATATAGAGAAGACAGAGGTGATGAAGATACCGCACCACCACCATCAACAACAACAACAAACTCCAATCACCATGAATGGGAGAAACTTAAAGGAAGTAGCCTCCTTCACTTATCTAGGAAGCACTGTTGCAACTACAGGCGGCAGCGGCACTGACGAGGATGTCAAGTCCAGGATCGGAAAAGCAAGACAGGTGTTCATTAGCCTGAAACCAGTGTGGAGATCTTCTGCATTCAGCATGTGGAACAAGATACGGATTTTCAACACCAACGTCAAGTCAGTGCTTCTGTATGGTTCAGAGACTTGGTGCATCACGAAAGGGATTTCCAATAAACTACAGACATTCATCAATAACTGCTTACGCTGCCTCGTTACTGAAGATCAGATGGTCAGAAAGAATAAGCAACAAGGAACTCTGGGAACGAACCAACCAAGAACCTATCGCTCAACAAATATGCAGGAGGAAGTGGAGATGGATTGGGCATGCACTGAGAAGGCCGACTGAGGACATCACGCGCCAGGCCCTCGAGTGGAATCCCCATGGGAAGCGACAAGTTGGGTGTCCGTGGTGAGGGTGACATGGAAGAGGTCGTGCGAGGAGGAAATGAGAGCTTATGGGCTGTCGTGGAGCCAGGTTGAAAAGATTTCAGAGAACAGAGTTGAATGGAGACGTGCTACTGAAGCCCTATGTTCCACTAGGAACCCAAGGGACTAATAATAATAATAATAATAATAATAATACAGTATCATTCAGTTTATCCCTTGATATCACCATTCAATCAGTTGGGTGAACTAAGAGGAATTGAGTTATTTGAGCACAGTCACCGTACCTGATTGACCCTAGCTAGTGAGCTGTTGAAAGCCAAAGATTACTGAACATATATCTCGAGTGCACTTTCAAAGTTTCCTCAGCCAGCGCGAAAAAGCTGACCAATTCTACATGGTGAGCAATCAAAATATTATCATGACAGACTTAATCTACTCATGAGTAATATGTGAAACCAAACAACATTTTATAGACAAAACACAAAGTAGTTCACGTATTACAGCTATAGCATTTAGACTGCGATCGTCAAAAATTAAACTTTCACCAGGATCCAAGTATTGATTATCCACGCGTAATTCTTGTAGTTTGATCAACCCTTCCAGACCTTCAACTAAATTGATATGATTTCGGCTCAGGAAACTATAGATACAGAGGAAGAATAGAGAGAATGTTGTATAAACAAAAACTTACAGTTTTTCCAGCTTTTCTAATGCATTCAAATTCTCTATACGACTTATCTGATTATTCTGTAGATATAAGTGTGTTAATTGGGAGAAATTCAAATCCTGTGGTATTGATTTCAACTTATTGTCATACAGATAGAGAACTCTTAAATGTTGACAAAGTATGACTTCATGACCCTGAAAATAAGATGATTTGGATTAAAAAAGGGACTTATAAATATGGGGAAAGCAAAGAGAATACGAATAAGAAAATCTTACCACTTCATCTAAGCTTTTACCATTCAAGTACAAATGTGTAATTTGTTTTAAATATTGCTCAGGTGTTTCGTTGACTTTGCGTTTTTTAAAAGTCGATGTACTTCTACATAATAAGGCTATAGTTGATTTAACCATATTGCCATTTTATGAATTCGCGTCAGTAGGCAATCGACTAGCTCCTTGAAAAAGGCTGAAAGGTAAAAACAAGCAAACAAGACAAGATCATGTAACTGCTTAAATAAGATGGATACGCAATAACCGTGTAGCGCCACACACTCCTCCAGAATCAATAGCCTAGGGTTCGACGAGATTCAACATTGATGTTAACCTCCATAGTTGTACCTGACTTGCTGAGCTGAAGGCACATGGTTAAACATCTTCGCCATTTGGCACGCTGTCGTGTTACGTTGCACTGCTCGTAATCGATCCCCTCTAGCCAGCTAGTTGGAGCGCATCGGTATCTTAGCACGACCTTGCAAATATACTATTTTATCCAACTACGCTCGGATGCGCTTGATTCAAAACTACGACCCAAACAGTCTGGCTGGCTTTAGGAAGTACAAATCATGTGCAGACCAAATTGCAACGCCACTCTACGCATCATCATAGAACAGAGTATAGAATGGCAGTCAACCCTCTACCTCAACTTCATCGACTTTGAGAAGGCCTTTGACAGCATCGACCAACAAGTAATTTGGCAACTGCTTCAACACTACGGAATACCACAAATCTTTATCAACCTCATTCAACAACTATATGAAGACCCCAAATGCCAAGTGATTCACAATGGGAAGCTCAGCTCAGTGATGCTTTTGAAGTGAAGACAGGAGTAAAACAAGGTTGCCTACTATCACCCATGATATTCCTGATTGTAGTGGACTGGATCATGCAATAAGCAGTGGGGAGCCAGAAGAGGAGGATACGCTGGACCGCGGAAAAGAACCTAGAAGATTTGGATTTCACCGATGACTTATGTACAAACTTGAAGATCTACAGGCGAAAACTAACAAGTTGGCAGAAAAGGCAGGGTAGCGAAGACGGAACTTCAAGTGAATATACAGAAGTGATGAAGATACCCAACCAACACCACTATCAACAAGCTCCAATCACCATGAATGGGAGAAACTTAAAGGAAGTAGCCTCCTTCACTTATCTAGGAAGCACTGTTGCAACTACAGGCGGCAGCGGCACTGACGAGGATGTCAAGTCCAGGATCGGAAAAGCAAGACAGGTGTTCATTAGCCTGAAACCAGTGTGGAGATCTTCTGCATTCAGCATGTGGGACAAGATACGGATTTTCAACACCAACGTCAAGTCAGTGCTTCTGTATGGTTCAGAGACTTGGCACGTTACAAAAGGCATTTCCAACAAACTATAGACATTCATCAACAGCTGCCTACGCTCGATACTGAAGATCAGATGGTCAGAAAGAATAAGCAACAAGGAGCTCCGGCCTAGCAACGAACCAACAAATATGCAGAAGGAAGTGGAGATGGATTGAGCACACACTGAGAAGGCCAACTGGGGACATCACGCCCTCGAGTAGAACCCCGATGGGAAGCGACAAGTTGGGCGTCCGAGGGTGACATGGAGGAGATCGTGCGAGGAGGAAATGAGAGCTTATGGGCTGTCGTGGAGCCAGGTTGAAAAGATTTCAGATAACAGAGTTGAATGGAGACGTGCTACTGAAGCCCTATGTCCCATTAGGAACCCAAGGGACAAATAATAATAAATTCAACTACGCTATTGTGTTCTTCCTTGGTCTCGTATTCGTGGGTGTATAACAAGTAGGAGTAGTTAGCGACTGGCCTCTGGGTCTATCAAGTTCGCACAAGAACAGTTCCTAAATTGATGAGCCCGTTCCTTTTTAAGCTTGTACATCGTTTTCATTATGATAACCGTTATATATACATATACAACTCCTTACCATATCCGACCATACTCCAAAGCTTATCCGCTTTAAGCCGACGACGAACACTATCCAACTCGTGCCATACTGACCACACAATGCAGAAACATGGTTTCTATATGCCGAGGCAGATTTTCGAGAATAGAGAGAGGGAGATCCACATTCTCGATTTCTTGCTGTCATACGTTCATTAGCGCGAGAATTAAACAAGCACGTTACAGTGCATGTGTTTAGCCCTGAAGTAAATTGTCCCTGTGCACTTCTCAAAACTGCACTACTGAAGAAAAGTGATCTCATAGATCACCAGCTCTTAGACGAATTGCTTCGTAACATCAAGCTAGGCAGGAAGCCAGCTACTGAAGTCCTCGCACGAATGCGAGAAGTTATGGGCCCACGAACGTTGGATAATGGCCTTTCCCGAGAACTGCCTCTCGAAACTACCACAACCGGCGCAAACCATGTTAGTGACACTCCCGTCAGTTCCACTCGATGACTTGGGAGTCTCAGAAGGTGAAATATTGGAAATCTCTAGCAGACCTGTCTCCAAAGTATATTCGGTATGCGATAAACCTAAGAGCCAGGATTCAGGAGTAAGTAAACTGTGCAACTCTGTTAAACAGCTGCTACGAACCCAAAGCCCTAGTTTATACAGTATATCACATAAACGTGTCTCAGCCCATCGCGATAACTCGCGTGGTTGTCCAAAAACTATACCTAACAGGGTGGGATACCCTAAATGGTGCTGGTTTTGCAATACCTAAGGTGACGAAATCAGAAAATGCTGAAAGTTATGCAGTTTCAACATAGATACAAACTCGGGAAACTGCCCCACCGGCACGCATTCACGGCAACCTTAGCCGGCGGAAAAAGCCGTTTGCTTTACATCAGATATAAAGACAAAAGTTCGCTACCGCGTCGACACCGGGGCAGAAGTTAGCGTTCTTCCCACACCGACGGTATGCCCACCTCAACTTAGATTTACGTAAACCTGCTCACCGGATTTTTTTCTAGCTGATGTTTCCATGCCAATCATTGGCATAGATTCACTGAACCATAACGATATACTCGTAGATGCTCGCCGACGACCACTGATACATAACAACACGAAGTTATCTACTGGCGGCACCACCTAGGTAGGTCCGGGTTTAGCCACAGTTAGAACTAAACAACCAGGCGACGCATCCTATCAGGCAGTTTTAGAGAAATATCCAGAGTCACAACAACCGAAGCATGCTCTGCCGCCTATAACCAGCAATTTTACGCATCATATCACAACCACAGGTCCACCCGTGGCATCCAAAGCATGCCATCTAGCCCCTAATAAGCTCAAAACGGTGAAAAGTTAATTTGACCAGCTGCTCGAAATGGGTATTATCAAACCGTTAAACAGTCCCTGGGCATCACCGTTGCATATGGTTCCCAAAAAGGATAGCAACGACTGGCGTCCACACGGTGATTACCGAAGGCCTAGCGCCAAAACAACACCGGACTGCTACTCGATACCTCATATCTACGACTTGACAGTAACGTTATGCGTAGTGACCATATTCTCCAAAATCGGTCTGGTCAAAGCGTACAACCAGATACCTATGGCAGCAGAAGATATCACGAAAATAGCTATTATCACTTCGTTTCGCTCGTTTGAATTCCTGCACATGACTTTTGGTCTTCGGATGATGTCTTCCGTGGTTTGGATTTTGTCCATGTCTACACCGATGACTGTTTCATTGTGAGTCCAGATATAGAAACTCACCTTAAACATTCGGACCTAGTATTCAGCAGTCTGAGAAAACATGGCATCACAGTCAACGTGCAGAAGTGTGAAATAGGATTTGAGTCACTCAGCTTCCTTGAGCATACTACTGATAACAAAGGTATACGCCCATTGAGAGATAAAGCAGTGGGTATCATGAACTATCCAGAGTCGACCACTGTGAAGCAGCTCCGCACTTTCAATGGCCTGGTAAGTTATTACCGAAGGTTCATTCCCAACTATCCCTCTGTTATGAAACCACTTACAGATCTACTACGAAGTGACTCTAGACAACGTGGCTAGGCTTGCTTTCTCTAAAGTCGAAGAAGCCATCTCGAAAACAACCATGCTTATGCGTCACGACCCCAAAGCTGTTTATGCATCTGACTCAGCAATCGGAGTCGTTTTGCAACAGTTGGCTGACAACGAGCGGCAACCTTTGGTCTTTTTCTCGAGGCGAAAGTAAGGCACAGTACATTCGGTAGGGAACTCCTGGCTATGTACTGTTCTGTACGCCATTTTTGACATTCGGTTGTGACTTCATTATTTTCACAGACCGCAAACCGTTAACTTTCTCTCTTGGCTCAGCATCTGATAAATACTCCTTGCGTGAGTCGTGACAACTGGATTACATTTCCCAGTTCACGTCAGATATCTGCCACATTTCTGGAGCAAATAACTCGATAACCGACGCACTATCTTGAATAACATCGACAAACCGTACCGAAGGTGTTGACATCATTGAACTAGCTCCGTGTAAAAAAGATCTTGAGTTGCAGCACCATATGTTGTCGTCCACAACTCTCAAGCTACAACTGTGTCCAGTAGGATCAGGCGGGATACAACTTTATACGATGTCTCTGCTAGTCAACCACGCCCAATAGTTCCGAAGGGATGTAGACGCAAAGTCCTCAATACGTTGAGCAAACTATCACACCCAGGTGTACGAGTCACCATCAGGCTTATTGCACAACGTTTCTGCTGGGCGGGAATGAACAAAGACGCTAAAGAGTGGGCTGTCGTGTTTAGCTTCTCAAAAGTGTAAAGTCACACGACACATGAAAAGCCCTTTAAGTTCTTTTCTACCCCCAGACATGTGTTTCGACTACGTCTACATAGATATTTTGGACCTCTACCAGAATCTAATAGATGTACTTACCTTTTCACCTACGTGGATCGTTTTACGAGATGGCCAGAAGCAGTACCTATGAAGGATGTTACTGCTGAAACTATTGCTCGTGTTGTCGTCGGAAGATAGATCGCAAACATGGATGTCCATCTTATGTAACAAACGACCGTGGGCGCCAATTTGAGTGTGGATTATTTCACGCTTTATTCGCACTTTTAGGTTGCCATCGGTTCCGAATGACAGCCTACCATCCACAAGCAAATGGCATGGTAGAAAGTTTCCATCAACAGCTGAACTGGACCGAGAGTCTGCCTCTAGTTCTACTGGGTATTCGGGACGCGCTG